AATAACCATTTACAGCTTCGATTACTTCTTCATTGTCCGCAAATCTCTTACCGCCAAGCCATTTTTTGAGATTAGGGAACAGAAAATAGTCACTCGGGGCTAGGTCTGGAGAGTAAGGAGGGTGCGGCATCAATTCAAACTTTAGATCGTTGATTTTAGCCGTCGCAACGATTGACGTGTGCGCTGGTGCGTTATCGTGATGAAACAAGATTTTTTTCTTCGCCAGATGAGGTCGTTTAATTTTCACCTCGTGGCTCAAACGTTGCAATAAGTCTGCGTAGTATTGACCAGTGATAGTATTACCCTTTGCAAGGTAATCAATGTATATAATACCTCTTGCATCCCAAAAAACAGTAGCCATAACCTTGTTCGCCGAAAAAATTGTTTTTGCCTTCTTTGGAGTTGGTTCCCCTGGTCCAATCCACTGTTTAGACTGTTCTTTGGTTTCAGGAGTGTAGTGGTGGACCCACGTTTCGTCAACGGTTACGAATCGACGCAAAAATTCGCTTGGATTACGCTTATACAATGACAAATTTGCGGTAGAAATGTTTTTTCGAATCAATTTTTGGTCGACTGTTAGCAAACGCGGCACCCATCTTGCACAGAGCTTTTCCATATGCAAATGTTGGTGCAAAATATGTTGCACACGTTCATATGACATCTTACAGGTCTCAGCTATCTCACGCACTTTCAATCTGCGGTCTCCCAGCACTATTTGATGAATTTTTTCGATCATATCTGGAGTTGTGACCTCAACGGGGCGTCCTGAGCGAGGCCCATCAGAGGTGCTCACACGACCCTTTTTAAACTCGGAAACCCACTGCTTAACGGTTGAATATGACGGGGAGGATGTCCCCAGTGTTGAGTCCATCTCTTTTTTAATTTCCTTCGGCGTTAACCCCTTCAAATAAAAGTATTTGATGACAGCACGATTTTCCTGCTTTTCCATTTTTACGAAAACCACAGAGGCGTCTTGTTCAGCGTGCTGTCAAACCTACACTAGCAAGGAGATCGGGCTGAAACTATAGCTACAAGCTATCCAAGGATGGTACTATAGAATGTCACCTCAAGGTAGGCCTAGTGGCGTCATCTCTTGGTTAGGCCGGAAACTTATCAATCCACCCTCGTATACTATAGAATGTCTTTATATAGAACAATCACAGCTTTTTTTGTCATTAGACAATACAAACCGGCTTCCCGGCCGGTACCGCCGCAACCGCTATGTCCCTGCATTTTAAGTCTGTAATATCTTTTAATATTCATTTAAATTGCATGCTTTAAAGGGTCATACTGATCTATATTAAATGCACAATGTATTTAAAAGTGCTTAATTGGATAAGGATTAATGCTGTATTGCTTAAAATCGCTTCGTAAATAAGCCATTATTTCTCGTAAAAAGTAAAGGATAAAAAATGGTTATTGTGGGTAGACATACGAGTATACCATCGCGGACTTTTTTGTAGATCTTTTTAAGGTATACAATACTGTAGTACATTATTTTGATCTATCTCGTAGGGTTCAGCCAGCGTTTGCAATGTAAGCGCAATAAAATGTGTTTATTTACGACACCACATTACAAACCTAAAATTATCAGTGTTTCTCTGCTATATTATGCATGTATTATACATATAAACCTTCCTCTTGAATTACTCTACCTATTAAAGAAAACCGCATTAAAATCCGTTGCGTAGTTTTAAAGATCTAAGCATACATAGGGACAGACAGCGGGGAAATGCGTTGCATGATTTCGTTACATAGCAACTTGCATAAAACTCTCTACCGTGCGTAAAGAACTTTCACTTCAAAAATACAACACGCCACTGAAGTGAAACTTCTTGAAACACACAAACATACCGGGATAGGGGTTAAGGAATTGTTTTAATGGTACTATTTGTACACTATGAATTTAAATTTTACACTATACCTGCCGGAGTTGCCTGTAACGAACGTTGCATTGAAGCGCGCTCATGGCTCAAGCGATCCCCACTACGAACTCGACTACGTGGCCGAGTAGAGGGGGGCATCCGTTGCATGATTTCGTTACATAGCAACTCACATGAAACGAACTTACCTTACCGTGCGTAAAGAAGTTTCACTTCAAAAAGGTACACATTTTCTAACACAACACAACATTCGCGAGCTCAAATTCAACATTAATTAAAATAGTAAGGGGATGTTGCCTTAAACCGTGAATCTCTAACACAAATGCATCTTTTCCTTCATAATGATGCATTGTTGCATTTGGCCATATGTTTCCCATTTTCCTCTTGCACTTAATTAAATATTCAAATAGCACTTCTCAACTGCTATATTTTAAGAGATGCACTATTAAAGTTTATTTCTGTCAACAGATTTTGTTTTAATAATGAACATCTTAAATCGTGTAAGTACAATATATAAACTTATTTGCATATGAATTATTATTTTGGAAAACTCCAACGTTTTATTACTTGGTTTTGATAAATATTGACGCCATACACAAAAAGCACAAGGCAAAATTATTATTTATTTCCCTATAAACATTGACTTGATTGGACCCGAATGTATGCTTATTACTAAATAATTAAAACAACTAGAAAGATTTTTAATTATAGATACAGTATCCAAAAGAAGGAAAATGATTATTATGAATTTGAAAATGTGAAATAGAAAATTGGTATCATTTTTTCCCCTTTAGTGTATAAATAATTAGAGCCAATTAGGCTTGAAAAGATTTACTATAACAAAACCAGAACCGATGTTTCGCCTTTAACTGGAGATTTCTTCTAGGCTAGATCGTTTTGAAATTACGGAAACCTTACTTTTCGCAAATTGAAGAAGTAATAAAAATAAATTTCTAATTGAAAAGAAATAGTATCTAGAACGCTCATAGTACGTTTTTAAAAAAAATGAAAATAAATTAAATAATAAAATATTAAATTTGAACGTAAAGTACTGATTTTATTATAATTTATATTTAAAATTAGATTAGTCTATTACCAATACCATCACCCTAACGCTTACTACGCAAATAGATATTACTTTCTCTAATAATTAAGTAGGTATTAATTGACAAAGTAATATCGAATACTATTCAAGTACAATTAAATTTAAGTTAAAGTTTTACGATACAATTGTTACTAATATTGCTACTAAATAAATAATACATAATCTAATGAAAAATAATTGAGTAGTTTGGCGCATATTTTAAGCGTTTAGTGTTCGCCTTCAATCATCATTTTACATAGTCCCTACTTTCATAATTTTCATTCATGGAAGAATACATTACCGATTATATCAGCACATCTAAAATAAATGCGTAGATACACATTTAAAAGCATTTTTTGTAAAAATAAAAACACAGCTACTTTACCAACATTGTGTTCAAGTACGATTAAGGAAAGGTTAATACAGAAGCAGTAGGAATTAATAAATTCAGTTTGTTAGAAGAAATCTGAGCGAAGATAGAAAGAATACACACTAGGCGTGAGCAAGACAGAAATAGTTGGAACAAGCTTGAACGAGCAGAGCTCTCGATGGGCGGTCTTAGGAGATCGGCTAGAACTGTACAGTACTGGACGAAAATGTTTAGCAATTTCTTAAAACAAAAATGTATATAAATTAACAATAGAAAACAAAGCAAAAGTTTTATAGGTGTGTAGAAGGTTAACTTAATTCACTTGTTATTATTTTTGGTTAAATATGCTTTTAAATAAAGCATATTCTTCAATTTTAACGAGGCAGTTTAAATAATTTTGCAAATGGTACTGTACACTTTTGTCTAGTTCTCGCTCGATGATCGGTGGATAAATGAGCTCCGCAGACAAATATGATTGAATTTGGAATTATGATACAGCGCATCCTAATAAAGGGAAGGGGTATATTTCCAACTTCTTGAAACGAACAGTAAGTACCTATTTTTGGACCATTGTACTCTAATTAGGTTTTTGGGAGACTATACCAGATAAAGATAATACATAAAAATGTATGGTCATTTGTATGAAAAATTAACGGTTCATTTAGCACGCTATAACTTTTTTAATACTTCAACCATTATCATTTTACCGCATATACTGTAAACGTGTTTTTCTTTCAAATATACACTTCACATTTTCAATTTTTTCAGTAATACTGTATACAAGCACAATGGTGGTCATTTTGAAATTTTAATCAAGTACTTTTTTCAATAAAAACCTAGCTATTGTACTTGGACTCACTGTTGGACCACCTTGTATATATTATGGAGACCCTGCTATTATTCTGTAGGTAATTGTAAATTACACTTCCTAGTATGTTAAGAAACATGACGTTGTACTTAAATTAATCAAGTTATTAGCTACTTGATGCTTTTATTTGATTAGTTTTAATTTGTGGGCACCCTGTATAAGATGGTAATTTTATTATGATTGGGATATAAATATGATCTATTATTAGGTACACTTCATTGTAATTTACGCGCATTTAAAATATGAAAACTATGTTACATTGTATTAAAAAAAAAATAAGATTTAGGTTAGGTTAGGTTAGATTAAGGTTATAGATATGCATTTTGATCAGATAATCCAAAAAATAACAATATACAGGTTGTTCAATTTATAAAACATAATTTTGATGCTTATTTCGGGCTTTTGGGACCCATATGAGGATAATATTAAGAAATAATCATAATATATCTCCCATGGAGTCTAAAAGGAATTTTTTTTGAAAGCCTCCAATTTGATGACAATATTCCGTGCAGTATGGCATGAATATCCCTGTATATAATGAGTAACAAATAAATATCTACGTAATTAAGGCGGATGTAAAGAAAGTACTTTGATGTCTGGAAGGCACTTTATTTATGCTGATACTAAATTAATTCAGTATCTGTGATATGTTTAAATTTCCTCATTCATAACGCGCTAATAAATTAATTTTAGGTTTATTTTTCGTTTGGGTAGCTGTAGTGGTCTAGAAGCGAATTTTTTCGAATAGAGTTAATTTAATAGAAGCGCTAGCTATTTTTAAACCACTAACAAGTATGAATCGAATCAGTTAGGTATGTTGTGTTATAACATTTGACCCGAGAGTACATTAAATTTGTGAAGTTCGTTTTACGACTTATTACATGACTTAGTTTTAAAACAGTTAAAAGTACTCCATTGTAATTCTCAAAATTCCAAATAAATAGTTCACGTTATTCATGTTGTAACAGATCATTCTCAACTATCGACATCTAAAGTTTTATACGTATGTATTAGCAGATAAATATAAAAGCAAATCAAAATGTAAGTTAAGTACTTAATTACTATTTTTATTATTACCTTTGTAAATTTATAATTCGTTATCGTGATTATTAACTGTACACTTTTCGGGTGCTCGTCAGGAGTTCGGAGGGTGGAAGGATTTTGAGACTGTTTTCTTCGCACAATTACTTATCGATTTTATGTAACGGAAAGGTTAAAGGAAGTCCAGAAAAATCTAACAAACACAGTAAGTTTTTAAATTTTGAACGTAGGTAAGTTATTGTTCTAAAAAACACAAACCTTTTTTTAGCTTTATTAATGACGATAAGTGCCAATACGGAAGATCCGAGTTTGGTATACATTTATGGCATAAAATCCAGACTATTCATATCAATGAACGATAAAGAAGGCAGTGTATCTGGAGTAGTGAGTATTAATTTTTTTTTAGATATTAATAGGCAAGAATATGTCACAAAACATTAGGAAAATATACGTCTATATCGATTTTCCATTTGCTTCAGTGTCAAAAAGAGTGCGCCACAATATTTAAGGAGGACTACGCACGATCACCGGACGACAGTACAGCCGTGTCCGAAAATTATCTTATGTACGAATGTGTCAGAGATGGACAGGGTGTTGGGTGGTATTTAGGAATTCGAACGAATGGTATGGTACGTCGAGGATCACACACAAGTAATCAATTCATAAATGAACTTGCGTCAAAAACCGAAGAGAAAAACAAAGAAAAAGTTAAATCAAGAAGACGAAAAGAATTGATGTTTCTTCCCGATCACAATGTTATACCATCGGAAATATGTGAAGCAGAGAACTACGAGTGCGAAGAGTGTGGAAGAACTTGTTAAAATTATTAAAAAGATTGCCATACAAATTATGAATGTTGTTAAGATGTTCCATTTTTAGAAAACCGTTTGCATTTACCATATTTCGACCGAAGCTATCAACAAAAATATACGTCTAGTACTATACTTCGTTTACTTTCTGTAGCGATGTGACCTTCAGTTTGACCGGCGCAAAGTAGAAAAGAACAGCACTAGGCGAGAAAAGAAAGGAGACAACTCTCGGCCAAACTCTTAACCGGTGAGGAGCGTATAATCCGTACAGTACTGCACGGAAAAATTGACCATTTTATCCACTACAATTGCATTGCTCAAATGTGCTGTTATTGGTAGCATTTACTACTGAAAATATCAACGAGATGTTTATTTATATTTGAAGACATATTAAAGGCTTTAACGCTTGTTTTCGACTCGCACTACTATTCATGAATGAACAAAACTTTTGGCAGATACTGTATGAAAAAGTATGTTTAATGAACAAGAGTCGAGAGTATAATGAGCTTTTTTCTCCCTACCTACGATTTTGCCAGCGCGCATCCAAGACATTGGAAGGGGCTCATCGCTAGAGAAAGTAAATGGAGTATATCTGTAAACTTGAGCAAATCGTTAAATTAATACGATGAGACACAGGAAAATGAATCTTACTTTCCATAATTTTATTTCAAAGTTTTTCGGATCCGTGGACAGTAGAATCAAATCCAAACAAACCGGTAAGAAATTCGCAAAAGGCGTAATAATGTTCTAGTATAAAATTTGTTATTTCTTCCCCAATGATATATTATTTTTTTTTAAGCAACCAGTAAGGGGTGAAATATTCTTTGTTCATTATGTAATCTCCACTTCTCCAGTTTCGCCTTTCGATTAAGATCGATAAAGCTTTAAATCGAAAGACGAAACATCGGTAGAAATTACATAAAAAATAAAAAGATTTTACCCCTTACTGGTTGCTTCTAATTAAAGAAAGCTTAATGTGAGTTAACGTCTTGCATATTAACAGTTTCTAAATGATAAATTTATTTTTGATAATATTTGATAAATAATGATAATTTCCAATTTGGCAAAGTTATTAATGTTTTAAAATACTGACTTCCCTCCTCAATGCAACCAATTAAGTTACAGTTACAGAAAATTCCAGTTCAGGAAAATTTCTGCTACTCTCAACTCCTCGAATTTTCATTTCGAAGTTTCTATGTATTATTACAATCCCAAGGAAAATACCCAGAAAATAAAACCAAAATCAGTCCCTTATCGTTCAATGAATCTCGACTTAGAGAAATGGAAAAATTCTAGAATTTGAGAGTTTGGAATACTTGTAAAACAATATGTATGTCAAGGGTGCTAATAGATGTTCGAGTTAGAAAAGATATTGGGTTATAGAAATTCGAGTTAAAAATTTCGACGGTATAACAGAAAATTTTCGATTTTACAAAACTAACACCCTCAAAAGAGTCCTTTGTACTTCCGATATCTTTTTTCTTTTCAATTAATAATGCATAACAAATTATTCTAATCGATATAAAAATTAGAGGTATAATGATTCAAAACAAAAAAATGAAAATTTCCAATAAATTTTGTGTTGGAAAGTAAGATATTATTTCCTGTGCCGATCTATAAATGTTGTTTAATACATATACATATACATACCTCTAGTTACTGCCCCTTTGCTCGCTTTTATGGTAGGTGTAGTTGCGATTTTATTTTAATAGTTTATTATAACCAGTAGTATTAAAATTAATATTTACTGAT